AAAAAACAAACACCAGCTTATTGATGAGGTTATCTTAACCATGTAATCTGTTATTATTTAAAAAGGATAATAAACTATAAAACTATACCAAGACTACCACAGTAGCAGTCTACAAATGACGCACAGCATTCTACTCCATTCAATAAAGGTCTCTAAAGCCAAGGCATTTTCTAAACTAATTGTAACTATGACATTTGTACAAGTTCAATTGTAAAATGTGGCAAGTGTCTCATATTTACCTCCTGGAAACCTAATTTCCACTCTTAATAGTAAAGGTTAATAATGAAAGCATTCATTTGCTTACTACTTATTATACCTCAAGCTATATCACAGATCAATTGAAAAAAAAATTTTTTTTTTTTTTTTTTGAGAGGGAGTTGCACTCTCGTTGCCCACGGTGGCATGCAATGGCACGATCTCGGCTCACTGCAACCTCCACCTCCCAGGTTCAAGCGATTCTCCTGCCTCAGCCTCCTGAGTAGCTGGGATTACAGGTGCATGCCACCATGCCCAGCTAATTTTTGTATTTTTAGTAGAGACGGGGTTTCACCAAGTTGGCCAGGCTAGTCTTGAACTCCTGACCTCAGGGTGATCCACCCGCCTCAGCCTCCCAACATGCTGGGATTACAGGCGTGAGCCACTGCGCCTGGCCTCAAAAAAAAAAAAATCCTTTTAATTAAACATGTTAAAAGAACTTGACATAGCCAGTTATCAGGAAGAACATTTTAGCCCTGCCACTCAAAGTGTGATCCAGGGACCAGCAGCACCAGCACAGCAACGTCATTAGCTTGGGAGCTTGTAAGAAATGGAGAATCTGGGGCATCAACCTGAACTAATACATCAAACCCACCTTTGAACCAGACTCCTAGGCAGTTGGCCAAACTCAACAATTCTTGGGTCATCACTGAACATCATTTGGTAGAAAATGAGAAATAAGCTCACTGTATACCCACTGCCTTTGTAGAAGGGAAACAGGGACTGAGAGCAGGGTTTGACAATTTGTTTCATCTAAGATTCAAGAGGCACATTAAAGTTTGAGAAGCACTGGGCTATGTTGCTATGGACCTGGTCCTAGCTCTGTGTGACCGTGGGCATGTTATAGCTCTTCTCAGGATCTCAGTTCCTCCACAGATAAAATAATAAGCAGTTCAACAATACAAGATAATCTCTTGGATCCTTCCAGTTCTAATGCTCTGATCCAATTGTGAATTTAAAAAACAGTCAAAGATCCTTTCCGAAATGATTTTGGGGGACTAATCAAGACAGTTGTACGAAGATTGCTTCAAAGGAAACTATGACCAGCACATAAAGTTTTGCTTACTAGAACAATATGCCTGAATGTGCTGATCAAGAGGAAAATACTGGCTGAATAACAGCAAAAGTAAATTAAAAGTCATATGCAGTGTAAGCCATATTTATGAAAGTTAACACCACTACATAGTCTGTACAAGTGAAAGTAACCACCAAGCTAAAATGACGGTCAATCTGAAATGCATTCTTGATCAAAGGTCATACTATGTGTGTATTTTCCAAAAGACAATGAGGAGACATGTATTCTTCGTACTTGGAGAATAATCTCAATCCTTAAGTTTTTCTCTGTAAAACAGAGATTAAAACTCAGAGGAACATACCCCCCTTTACCCCCACCCTCCTACTCTGTATTCTCTCACTGCTTCTAGTGGATTGCCTATGATGGTGTCTTACAAATAGAAGGTGCTAAAAAAATTAATTGATCGATAGTATCCACTTGAGATATAATAGACACAGAAGAGTTCACTTAAGGATCTTAGGACACTTTGTACTTATTAACCAATCAACAACACTGATTAATCACATGTAATTTTCTTTAAAAAAGAAAAATCACTTGCTTGTGGTTTTATAAAAATTTTTTTGAAATTAAATAATTTTAAATAGCATAACTTAAGCTAGTTAACAGGCCCTTCCATTTGTGTATTATTCAAAGACCTTAGAGTTTTACCTGACTTGACTTTTTTCTCAAAATTCAGGAAATCCTATTGGCTCTATCTTCAAACATGCATGCTCCAACCTACCAAATTTACTACTGTAGTCAAAGCTGCCGCCATCTATTGCCTGGATCACAGTATAGCCTTCTAATTTGTTTCCCTGCTTCCACTCTTATACACGCCCATTCCCTCCCCACACACCTTAAATCACTTCTTAGGACAGCAGCCAGAGTCTCCTGTCAAAATGTACATCTAATGATGTCACCACTCTGCTTAAAACCTTCTAGTGGCTTCTCATCTCAGAGTAAAGCCAAATTCCTTACAATGACTTACAAAGCTTTACATGATCTGACAACCTCTCCCGTTGGCCCCCAATACAACTCGTTCCTCCTACTTCGCCATCCAGCCCTGATGGCTGCTTTGTTGTTTCTGGTATATGATGGGCACATTCCAGATCCAGCCTCTTGTATTCTACCTGGAATGCTAGCTTGTTCTCTTCTTCCTACAGGTCTCTCTACTAAAATGTCATTTCTCACTAAGATCGTTCCTGGACAATTTACCAAAAATTGTAATCTTTCTCCCTGGTCTTTATTACTATATAACAATACCATATCTTAACTGTGTTATTATGTTTCTCCCAACAAAAATATGAGCAGGGAATTTTGTCAGTTTTATTCACTGCTATATGGACAGTGCCTGGTGCTCAATAGATAGTTATTGAGTAAATAACTTTTTTACTTAAGTTTACTTCAGGAAAAATCAATAACTGTTTAGTTATATAAGATAAATTGAAAACCAGAACCACCAAAAAGTACCTTTTAGTCTCATTTTTAATCTCATGTTGTTCTCTTTTCTTTTCCATCATTTTCCCCCATCTATTCTTCGGCAAATCCCTCTGAGGCAATGGTATTGCGTGCTGGACATAAAGGTCAGTAAGACTGTCTTTGTTTACTCTTACATCAGTTTCAACAGCTATGTTCTTCTGTGGGAAAGGAAACAAAAGCAATTTCAAAACAACATTTTTGATTTTAGTAAGTAACCACCTTACCTAACAGGGTAAAACATGACTGCTTAAATAACAAATTATAAAAAACCATTTTCACAAAACACGTGCACTCAGAGGCAGTGTTATAGGTTGAATTCTGTAAATATGAGGTTCAGCCTCATCTTAAAGACAACGGTCCTATTTTCTCAGTGTGACAAGGATTGCTGTCCACAACTGCTCAGCCAACACACCAAGCATGAAAGATCATTTCCAGTAATATTATCTTAATATACAAAGGGGATTGAAAACGGGAGACTGCCCGGGAAAAACAGACAAAAGAAAGCTAACAATGATTAACAATCACCACATTCTGTCAATAAGCTACTTTGAGTGTTACTATCATGATCAGATTAGTGGGATGAAGGTCTCCGTCTGTCTTATATTTCTCGTGCTTCTCTAATCTGGTGCTTCCTAAATTGAAGTTAACTACTAAGATTTCAAATAATACCACAGATAGAAACTGTTATCCCCGTACTGATGACAGTAGCAGTACATCATTAGAAAAGCCTGCACCCCATTTTCACTGGTCCTTTCAAGTAAGCCTCCAGTCACTGTCCAACCATCTCTATCTAAATCACCAAATTCCTCCTCATTTTCCAATTTGTTCTTGACATCATGAAAACCACAGCATAAGCACAGTAGTAGTCATGAAGACAGACTTTGGATTTAAGAAGGAAAAATGAGAATGGAAATGAGATCACAGGCTCTTCAATTTCAACTCAGAAAGGCTTGAAAACATTACATTGAAAACATTAAACAGTACAACTGACAAGCCTATATCCTCTAACAAAAACTAATAAAAGCACATTTTACTTCTCTTTCGTATATTGGACTCACCTATTTTTACCCTGTACTCACTCAGAGGTAGGGGAAACTCCCAGGATTCTCTTGGACAACATTCCCAGAGAATTCACAGGCCCGTTACTTTGGAAAGTATTGCCTTAGGACAGCTGTTCTCAAAGCGTGCTGTCTAGGCCAGCAACCAGCTGGTTAAAAATGCAAAATTTCAGGCCACATTCCAGAACTACTGAACGAGAAACAGGGGACGGAGCCCATCAATCTGTGTTTTAGCAAGCCCTCGACGGATTCTTAAGTACCTAAAAAGTTTGATAACCACAGGTAAAAACTTACTACCATAATTAAAATAAGCTCTACTTGGCAAGAGGACTTGAAATTCAAGAAAGATAGGGTACCAGGGGAAAACCATATGGAAAACAACAAAATACGCTACATAAACCCCAAGGAAACTTTCAGTAATTCTCTATCACTTAAAACATCACTTTTTTCCTTTCTCATTTTTCTCCTATTACTACAGGCCACACCAGCTGGAAAAGAGCACGCACTACATGGAGAGCCAGGAGCCCTGAATTCTCCCCCGGGCAGTACCATTTACAGATGCTGTGACCTTAAACAAGTCACTTCATCTCTCTAGAACTGTTTAATCATCTTTAAACGATTAGAGAGGGTGTGCAATGGACGGCTTCTCAGATGCTTTCCAGTCCTGACAGTCCATGATTTCTACCTTCCATGTCTATTCTACGCTTCTTCCCCACTTCCTTTCTTCCTCAGGTCGGTGCTTACACACAGGCAGGGGGTGTCGCCTGGGATTCCTCTTTACAAGCCATCGGGACTCAGATAGATAAGCCCTATTTCCCAAGCATTCCTGATATTCTACGGACGTCTCTTTTTCGGAGAGGAGGCGAGGAGGGGGAGCGAGGGGACAGCTGGCTGGTTTGCGTGGGTGGAGAGTGGCACAAACCCGGCGGGAGTGTCAGTGGTTGCCGAGGGCTACTTAAGGCAAGCTCAGGTGCAAGCGCCTCACCTGGGAAGGCCCACTCGCCCGCCCTCCTTCCCTCTCTCCCTCCGATCCGGCGCGCCCAACCTGCTCTAGAGTGAGGAGAAGGAACTCTTGGGACAGCAGCTCCGGGTGCAGCAGCAGTTCCGAGTCCGTGCAGCTGCGACCGCCCACATCCCCCGCCATCGTCGTCGCCAGGAGACCCCAGTCGGCTACCCACAAAGCCCCGCGAAGGAAGCGTTCCGGAAGTGATGTACCCGGGCGGAGACTCGAGTGTGTCGTCACTCTGAGTGCGCCGCATGCCGGCCTCTTTCTCTCGCAGCTGGTGCGAGTGTTGGGGCCTGGTCCAGCTTGCAAAAGCTCGCAGGGACCAGAGAAAAGAGAACGATGTCAGACGTAGAAACAAATGGCGTGTCAAGTTTTGCAGGAAGGGAGGGAAGAGTGAAGCTCCGGGAGCCGGCGACGATTGGTCGCGCTTTCTGTGACGTCCAACGGCAGAGGTCAAAGGGATTCCTGGGGCAGCCTCAAGGGAAAGAATTCTGGCGCGGGGGGCCGGTATACAGTACTCTAAATATGGCAGTGGTTGTGTCTGAAATTATCGTGCTTTTCTTTGTTTAATCTGTTTCTTGTCTCTTCATCGCCCTTCTATATAACGTAAGACTAGAAGCTTTATTTAGTGAATTCCCTGTAACCCAGGCTCCTTGGACAAATAGGTATTCAAGTATTTGTTTTGAAGTAATGCTCTGAATTAACCTGCTCACATGTAAAAAATAATAACCGGCTGGGAAACGCCAGTAATAACCGCCAAACGTTTGTTAGACATTTACAGTGTGCCAGGCAGGGACTGCGTTTTACGTGTATTATCACATTCCTCAGAACAGCCTAATGAGGTGTGTATTACCAGAATGCCTGTTTTTCAGATGAGGAAACTGATGCATAGAAAGGATAATTTACTCAAGAGTGAGGAAGTAGCAAGCATAAAATCCAACTACATTTTTTCTGCATGTATTAATAGCTACAGTGAAGTTTTTAAATTGCTGTAGGTATCAATTATAGTCTAATTCCCAGTAATTCACTTACTAAGAAATATTTTCTGCTTCTCTTTTATCATTCATGGGAGCGATACATATCCCTAAATATTTTGCACATTTAAAACTTAAACTTGTCGGGTGTGGTGGCTTATGCCTGTAATCCCAGCGTTTCGGGAGGCTCAGATGGGAGGATTGCTTGAGGCCAGGAGTTCTAGGCCAGCCTGGGCCACATAGTAAGACCCTGTATCTACAAAAAAAAAAAAAAAAAAAATTAGCCAGGCATGGTGGTGTCTCTGCGGTACTAGCTACTTGGGAGGTTGAGGTGGTAGGATCACAGGCGCCCAGCAATTCCAGCCTGCAGTTAGATAGGATTACCACACTGTACTTCAGCCTGGGCGACAGAATGGTACCATGTCTGAAAAAATAAAACTTACAGATATGTTTTGAATATTTATTGTATGCATCCTCTGTGATGTGTCATTTTATTGGAAATTATTGCATTGTCTACAAAAATATGAAGAACTCTGAGGATGCCGAAAGATAAACCTCAAAAGAGTACTAGAAGTGAGATCCTCAAAAAGAGAAAGCTGAGAAGTGTTTCCCAATTTTTCTTATTTATGTATGTAATACTTTATGTCTAAAAACTGAATTTCAGAGCTGGGAGGAAACTTAAAAGTTGCTCAGTCTAGTTCTTTCAGGTTGGTGCCAAGAAAGCTGATCAGACTTGCCCAAAATTGAACAGTCTTAAATCTGAGCTGAGGCAGGCATCTGACTGTCTTAAATTGGAGTTAAATGTATTAGCGTCATGGTATTAACATCATCATATTCCACATCTCAAATCTTATTTGATTTTCATTACAATAGTGAAATGAGTGTGATTAGTATTATCCCCATTTCCTTCACCAGGAGGCACATTGTTTTAGTATCAAAAGCAGCTACCTTGGGAGAATCTGGGGCTAGAAACCTGACCTCATTTCAAGTTTTACTCTGTTGCACCAAAACCTTGGGTGAGTTACTCAGTTTCTCAGCTTCAGTCCCCTCATCAGGAAAATGCTGTCTTAGCACTTTCTGTGAAGGATGATCAAAGGCGTGGAGATTATTGTAGAAATTGTAAACACACTTGACACAGAGTAAGTGTTTAAGAACTGGCAGCTGGTTTTTACAAAGTTATTGGTCGTAGACGGCAGTTTAGAGGAAAGGGCAGGCTTTGGAGTGGCTCAGAGTTGTGTTATAACCTTGGCTTCTTTGCTTACCTAGGACATACACTCTAGCTGTAGCGTCCTCCCCTCTGAGATGGAAATTACAAGCCATCTCGCAATGTTGTGAGGATTGGAGCTCAAGGGTGTAAAATGCCTCCTCTGGGGGCTCTCCTTGGAGACGTCTTGTATCCTATTGATTGTCATCGAAGGAAAGAAGTGGCAGGATGATGGTGTAAGAAGGAAGAACCTTGAGTTTAATAGTCTGAAAAAGTGGTTACAGGTTCTTGCTGTGCTTTTTCTCTCTGCGGTTTTCTGAACCCATCGCCTAACCTGAAGCCTTAGTTCATCTGCAAAAATGTTTTGTGGCAGGTAAGATGTCTTTTTATTCTTCCAGTACTTCCCAGTTTAAAACTAAGAGTACTTCCTTGCTTAAAACTAACTATATTAATACTGTTCTAGGTGCCTCTGAAGCAGAACTCTTGAGATGGAAGGGTTGTCATCTGAGGAAAAAAAATCGAGATTAAGAGAGGAGGGACTAGAATGAGATTCACTTACCCTCTCTCCTCCAAGGGAAGGAGAGAATGGTGATGCCTGCCCAATCCTTCCTGGGCGGAACCTTTGTAGCATGGAACACTGGAGAATTTGCAGTCTGCTGACTTTCTGATTTAGGAGGTTGATGGGGAGGCCTTATAATTTGCATTTCTAACAAGTTCTGAGGTGATGCTTCAAATATGTCCAGGCAGAAGGGCCGCCACACAGAGATTTCTGCCATACCACATGAGAATTGAAGCCACAGACATCTCCAACCCTCAAGCCTGAAACCAAAAGACTGAAAACCAAACACTATGGTGGACAAAGAACATCTCAGAACTTCTGTGGGGACCAGTGACACAAGGACCTAAGGTCTCTCTCTTCTCATCTTGGCACTTCGGGTAGTCTCCCCAGTCTTGACAAAGCCCTGGAGAAAGGGGCGGGCCTCCCATTGATAAGATTGTCACTGCAGATAAATGGAGGTTTCAAACTGAAAGAAAGGAGGAGGCCCACTGCAGATAAATGGAGGTTTCAACTTGAAAGAAAGGAGGAGGGCCTCCCGTTTGATAAGATTATTGTCACTGCAGGTAAATGGAGGCTTCAAATAGAAGTAGGTTTCAGTTACAGAAAAAAAATTATCTTTGTTACACATTTGAGTTTGCAGGCCTAAGGTTACTCCCGCTACATTGTCATCTGTAACCATAAGGCACTCAACATTTTAAGCTAACTATAAGAATTTTTGCTTCACTCAAAGATCCTGAGGTTTTATTCACATTTTTATTTGGTGACTATAGTTGACAAGAACAAAGCTGTGGGGAATCAACAAACACTGCCATGCCTGGCATTGTCACCTCACTAGATTGTGCATTCCTCTGGGACAGGGTCCATACATTTCCTTTGAATCCCTCACTTAGTCATTAGCCTGCACGGTGCTTGTACTTAGTAGGTGCTCAATAAATGTTTGTGGAATGAATGCATGATGAACAAAATATATACTGAGGACTCTGGTGTTGGTTCTTGTTCATAATGTAACAGTTAAGATATGTTATAAATATTTCATCAAAATATTGTGTCAAAAATATACTTGAGCAGGCTGGGCGCAGTGGCTCACGCTTGTAATCCCAGCCCTTTGGGACGCTGAGGCAGGTGGCTCACTTGAGGTCAGGAGTTTAAGACCAGACCGGCCAACATGGTAAAACTCCATCTCCACTAAAAAAAACAAAAGTTAGCTGGGCATGGTTTTGAGTGCCTGTAATCCCAGCTACTCGGGAGGCTAAGGCAGGAGAATCGCTTGAACCCAGCAGGTAGATGTTGTAGTGAACTGAGATTGCACCACTGCACTCCAGTCTAGGGGACAGAGCACGACTCCTAAAAAATATATATATACACATATATAAAGTATATACATACACATGAGCATAAAGGAGCTTCAATGTGAAGGTAACAGTTTAAGCAATATTTCACATTTTGGACCTGTGTTGTTAGCTATTTAGAGCAGTTAAACTACTGGCTTGTTTTTAAATCCACTGTCTTAGTCATTTCAAGTTGTTACAACAAAATACCATATACTGAGTAGTTTATAAACAACAGAATGCATTTCTCAATTCTGGAGGCTGGGAAGTCCAAGATCAAGGTGCTGGCAGATTGGGTGTAGTGAAGACCCATTCATAAATGGCACCTTCTCGCTGTGTCCTCACATGGTGGATGGGGCAACAGGCTCTCTTAGGCTTCTTTTATAAGGGCAATAATTCAGGAAGGTTCCACACTTGTGACAGAATTATCTCCTAAAGACCCCACTTCCAAATACCATCATCTTGAGCATTAGGTTTCAACATACAAATTTTGGAGGTATACATTCAGATGACAGCACTCATCTCATGTTACCTTTCATCTTTGGCCTCTTAGTGCCTGCCACATAGCACAAGAACAGTAAGTGTACGCTGAATGAATGCAGATGAATGAACCTTTCCCCATCCTCAGATACTTCCTAACTGACCTCCACTATCAACAAACTTCTAGAGCACATTATTTTTTCCCTTATGATCTGGTTAGGTGGGTTTTTCTTCCACATATCACACTAATCCAGTGGTCCTCAAAATTGTGTGCCCGTTAGAATCCTCTGGAGGGGTTGTGAAAATAGTTTGCTGGGTCCTAACCCGAGTTTCTGATTTAGGAGGTTTGGGATGGGGACACCAGAATTTGCATTTCTAACAAGTCCAGAGGTGATGATACTGCTGGCTAGCAACTCTACCTTATAAACCACTGCACATTAAACTTTGAGGGTAGAGACTGTCTTCCTCATTTCAGTATCTGCTGAAGCCTTTGGCATAGTACCTGGCACACAGGAGCTGCTCAAGAAATAGTTGAGTGAATAATAGTTCAAAAAAGTTTATTTTAGTGAAACTAGATTACAAGTATATGGATGTGTGTGTATATATGATTAAATGAGCTATTACATGTAAAAGTTCTTAAAACATGGCACATAGTAAGCTGTTGCTTTAAAAAAAATCGAAAATGTAACCTTTCTTTGCTTATCTTCTAAAATGACACCAACCTACATGTGTGCTCTTAAAGAGCGAGACTCCATCTCAAAAAAAAAAAAAAAAAGCTTATATATTAGAATAATGGAATCTTAGTATTAAAAGCCTCTTTTAAAGTTAATCTAGGCCGGATGTGGTTGCTCATGCCAGTAATCCCAGCACCTGGGGAAGCCGAGGTGGGTGGATCACTTGAGGTCAGGAGTTCAAGACCAGCCTGTTCAATATGGTAAAACCCTGTTTCTACTAAAAATACAAAAATTAGCCCTGCGTGATGGTGCGTGCCTGTAGTTGCAGATACTTTGGAGGCTGAGGCAGGAGAATGGCTTGAACCCGGGAGGTAGAGGTTGCAGTGAGCTGAGAAGATTATACCACTGCACTCCAGCCTGAGCAAAAAAAAAAAAAAAAAAAAAAAGTCATCTGGTTAGTCAATATTTCAATATTGAGCTTCAAGAATTTTTTAAAAATTGGTTGAGTGTTTTCTACATGCAGAAAGATACAGCAGAGAGCATAGACACAATCCTCGCCCTCGCAAGTGTATACCCAGTGAGAAAGTGAGGAGCACAAAGTATGTGTAAGTATAAGGATCCTAAGTTTTGAGAGTAGACAGCAACTATGAAAATATTCCGTTATATCGATGCAACTCAGTCTTCAATAATCGTTCTCATCGGAGCACATCTTTTTCACATTTTGTAAAATAACGCTTGGTATGGGCCCCAGGAATATCTAATAAATATTAAAAGTGAAGTTAATAATTGTTTTGAAAGCCGTATGATTGATATTCTTAAATGTAACCAATAGAAACAAGGAATTTGGCCTATGCACATATTTGCACATTTATGGTACAGGCATTTACATGAAGGTGCCTGTCATTTGTGACACAGACTTTTCAAGTTTCAGAAGGAACTGATGTTTCTAGATGGAATAATATGGAGCTTGCCATTATAAGAATCCTGTGATAAATCCTTTCATAAAATAAATATGTCTGAATTATTTCTTGTTATACATTTTCACTCCTGGATCATCTAAAGTAGAACACAAAGATTGTTCATAAACTGTTCATTCAAAACTATATAAAAAGAATCACTGTTGCTAAATTCTGGATTCTTACTGTTGCTTTTTCTTACTAGCATGGGGTTTGGGACAAGTCACCTTTAAAAATTTTTTTATTTATATTTTCCTAAGTGAATTAACACAGGAAGTCATTCACCTTTCTTTGCCTCAATCGACGCATTTGTAAAATGGTAAATTAGTAGCGTCTACTTCATTGCTCAGTCACTAGCAGTTTCTGAAGTCACTGTCTGGCAGTCAGTAGATATCACCTCTGTAACCAGTCTTGTGCAGCTCTCTGTAATGTGATATGGTAGAGGACTAAAATGCTAAAGCACAAGGGTGAATTCTAGGCCCACCTGAGCCAGTGATTAGTTGATGACAAGTCACATAGTCTCTTTGAGCCCGGGTAAAATGAGGAGACTGGATTTGCTCTTGTACCTTCCCAATCCCTGGCTCCACTAGCTGTTGGCCACCTTAGACTTGAAGGTCCATTCACTGCTGCCTGCCCTTGAAGCTCAATTGCTGGCCACAGCTTTACACTCCTGGGAAGCTAGTCCCCTACTTGGAGGCTGAGCCGGTGACACTGGTTCCACTGGGTCAGAGCTGAGGCCCCACTGGGCATGGGGCATTTATGTTGCCATGAGTCACACTAAGGTAGGGATGGAGGACAAGTCACAGAAGATTGTTGGGGTTTTTTTTGGCCACTTTCTTTTTCTTTTTTTTCCTTTTTTTATCCCTTTGAAACAGAAGACCATGGAGTACAATCTGGTATCTGCCTTCAGACTTGGGATAATACCTTTGTTTTACAATACTCAGAGTGGCTGTAAGAAAGCTGAGGCCACAGGTCACTAGCAGGTCCTAAAGTCTGAAAATCACTGGGAAAATTTGACTTTTTATATGCTAATAATTGAGTACTGACAACTCTGGAGGGAGCTTTCCAATTCTTTCATCATGAAATTGGACTTTGTATATTGAGGAGCGGTTCATGGATTCATGGTAACTTACAAATCTCACTGCGGCCTGAACCAAAGGAATAGCTACAGTTGGATTTTCCTAAAAAGCGTAAGATAGTCCCAGGCCTCCCTTCTCAAATAAGTTATCAAGCAGGTGGACTCTGCCAGTCAGGGGTCCCAGTCAGTCCCTGGGGCCCTGGGGCGCTGCGGGCCTCCAGCGAGGACTGCGCATCCGAACAGTGCCTTCGGCTCTTGGTGGGGCACCGGCGGTACGTCCGAACCTCCAGCCCTCCTGGTCAGGTGGCCGCGGGCCCAGGCATTTCCCAGGATTCATTCATTCATTCATTCGTTCATCCAGCAGGTATTTCCCGAGCGCCCTCCTCCTGTGTAGGTGACAGAAACTGGGTGGCGAGCCAGCCCGGCAAAGCCCGGCTTCCCTGACGCTCCCCGCGGAGGCGGGGGCGGAGAAGAGACCTCAGCCCCACGGCTCGCACAGCTG